CGACACACGTACCACCACTCTCTCTCTCTCTCTCTCTCTCTCTCTCTCTCTCACACACACACACACACACACACACACACACACACACACACACACACACACTCTTTCTTCTGGCTTACCAAAGTAACTGTGTTTTTTGCCACTATTTGGACTGCCTCTGCTCCTGGACCAGTAACCTTATTTGTCGTCTGTAGGTTGACTGGTGTATTCTGTGCATCGGTGCTGAGGACCGCTTTCTGACTGTTGATTGCAGTAACCATGGCAATGGTAGGTCTTTGACCCACAACAGAGGCAGGCATGGTTGCAGTTGCTGCTTTCAAGACGAGAGGTAGTGTCTTAGTGGTGATCATAGAAGCTGTAGTTACAGATTTCTAAGGGAAACAGAAAACACAGCTTAAGAGTCTGGAACATTACATATTGGACAGGATGTTGCTTATACTTGAGCTCAGTCAGTCAGAAATTATAGGTAAAAATGGAAGGGAAAAAAACAGCATTGATTCTGTCCGCTTCTATATACACACACTTTACCCTATGCCTGCAAAAACTGGAGAAATGGAAAAAATCCCTCATCTGAAAAGCCCTGAGATAAATCTTTACTAAAACTTGCAATCATACAGAAAGTATTGTGAACAATGCATACATAGTATGCATATGCAATGGGAAAACACATTGTGAGATTAATCAGGTGTTTGTAGAGGTATAACACTTACTTCTCTTACATCTTTGAGCTTTGTATTATTCCACATGCATATTGTCATGAGTGTCAGTTTCAATCTCTTAAATGTGAAAATTTATAAAGCACATTTAGCAAAGAAACAGTCCCAGCATCTCTCTCATCAGCTGAGATCCAAACCTTTAGAGGGAAGTTTTCTATTTTTCAGATAATTTAGTTATCCAAAATGATCATTTTATTAGAGGAAGGAGGAGGAAACATTTTAACATTGACATATTTAAGGACAAAGCTAGATCTCAATTTTGGATATCCATTTTTTATTTTTATTTTTATGTACAGTAATTTAGCTATCTGGACTCTTCCCTTCCCTTAGAAGAGCAGGAGGCCAACTAACTGCGGCTACAGATGGAAACTAGAAAAATAATAAGCTTGGTGGAAAAATCCTCCATCACTATTTCTGTTACAAGGAAACTCCTGTGGGAGGGAGCCAGTTTTTATTTTCAGCTTCAAGCTGAATGCATCTTGGCATTTTAAGTGTTGACTTTTAGTTTGTCCAACAGGCAGTAAGCAATTAAATTTCACTTGTTCATACCAGAATTTTCCTTGTCCTAGCTTGCTGGACAATGGGATTTCTCTTGGTCTGACCTGAAGACAGCGATTTTGGAGCCTCTAGTCCCAGCACACATATGAAATGCCTAATTCTACTACAGCTGCAAATATCAATTCCCAAGATTTATATGTTAAGGCACAGATTTTTAAATATATTTAGGTATTGCTGTGCTTAGAGCTGCAATGCCTAACTGGTTTAAGAACCTAAATCTCATTTTCAAAAGTGATTTAGGCACCTTATCTAAATCCCATTGACGTTAAATAGGAGTTTGTCTCCCAAGTGCCTAAATCCCATTTGAAAATGAGATTTAGGCTCCTAAATCAGTTAGGCATTGCAACACTGAACAAAGCAATGCCTAAGCACCATTAAAAAACTGGGCCAAAGAGACTACACCTGCAATATTTTCCTTTAAATTTTACTTCTACTGAAATATTTGTTAAGGAGAGATGGGAAAGGAGAAATAATCATGCAGAAGAGAACAAGGCAACTATTTCCAGATTAAATGACGCCATATTAAAATATACATTTAAAAAAATGAAGATAAATGGCAGCTAAAAGAACTGGTGAATGAACTTGCTTTCTTTTTCATCAGATCAACTATACTGATGTCAGAGCATCTTTCCAGACTTTTTGATGGAATGATCAAATGTTCCCAGTACAAAATGAGAACCATGGCCTGCATTTCTCTGATGTAAGTGCTACTATGCCCTAGAACAGAAGAAATGTTGGGCCAGGTATCAGGTGATACTTTTTTCTGGTGCTAACATGCCTGCTTTGTGTTGGCTTATTTTAATCTCACCATTCTTTCCCCTCCTTAAAAAACAAATCCATGTGTAATTTCAATTGTTTTCCCAGGTAACTTTTTCAGTAGGTTTATGATATTATTCGGGAATTTATTTTGCCTTAATTACCAGTATTCTTCTAATTTCCTACTGTTTAGACTATATCCTCTAGTTTTTGAACCCCTCACATGTGTCTATTTGCACTAGCAGTGAATTTGACCCTTTATAAGTTTTATCAACCCCATTCATAACTTTGTCTTCTGTATCACAAGAATAAGAATAACTCCCTTAACCTTTCTTTATATCTTCTATTCATGAGTTTCTTTATTGACCTCTGCTGCACTCTCTCCAGGACAAGCAACCTCCTTCCTGTTGTGCAGTGGCATTGAACAAAGTGTTCAAGTGAGATATAACAGTAAGAGGATCATTTTCATGAATACTACATTCACCCACATACATTTTAAAGAAAAATGTAATCAATCATGTTATACAAGACATGACTATCAAGGGATTCTAGTGAGATCATACATAACGAAAGCAAACCTCTAATCAGCAGAGTCCAGATAATGAATTTCCCTCTGTCATGTTGCTGCATGTTAATTATTTTTTGGAAGCTAAAGATGGAATATTTCTATATGAAATGTTTTCAGTTTATGTATGAATACTGATGTAACATCAGCAATAAGACCATAAAATTTCATATCCATAATAATGTGACTTTTAAAAAACAGGTTTGCTGCTTTAGGAAGATTTTTACAAATCATATGATAATGGATTATAGTAAAATGTTACTATTAGGGCAGTATATTTACTTCTAATTAGGTTGTCTCTAGTCCTAACTTGAATTTCACTTGAACTTGCACCTAAAAAATTAATTCTGTTGAAGTGCCTTGGAAGATATATTAGTTACAAAACTGGACATCAGGAAACTTTAAAAAGAGGCAAATATTTTACTTTCCCTAGTAGGTAAAGAGGCTTTTCTCTTCAAGGAGAAAAGGCACGTTTTGTTAGTCAGTAGAAATGGGGCAGAGTGTGAATGGTAGCGAGCAGAGGTTCTCCAGATTTATATCAGTGTAACTGAGATTAGAATAGTTTTTAGGATGCAACACTGTTCATTCATTCTGTTCCAATGGAAGTGTCCCTTGCCCTTCAGCTTATTGATGTTGTCCAAGTGCCACTGTTCTTATTCATAGACTCAGACCAAAAGGGACCATTATGATCAACAGCCTGACCTTCTGTGCAACAAAGACCATAGAACTTCCCCAAGATAATTCCTAGAGCAGAGCTTTTAGAAAAAACATCCAATCTTGATTTTAAAATGGCCAATGATGGTGCATTCACTACAACCCTTAGTAAATTGTTCCAGTGGTTAATTACCCTCGCTGCTAAAAATATACACCTTATTTCTAGTCTGAATTTGTCTAGCTTCAACTTCCAGCCATTGTATCATGTTATATCTTTCTCTGCTATCTTGAAGAGCCCAAATATTTGTTCCCCATGTAGGGTACTTAAGGACTGTGATCAAGACACCCCTTAACTTTCTTTGTTAAACTAAATAGATTGAGCTCCTTGAATCTATCACTGTAAGGCAGGTTTTCTAATCCTTCAACCATTCGCCTGGCTCTTCTCTGAACCCTCTCCAATTTATCAACATCCCTCTTGAATTCTGGACACCAGAACTGGACACAGTATTCCAGCAAAATACAGAGGTAAAATAATGTCTCAGCTCCTACTTGAGATTCACCATGACAGATATGACAGTATCCTCCAATAACCTGGGAAACCCTTATGGAATTAAGTTAAACCTTATTGAATTACGTTTGGGGTCCATTCTATTGAAAAAGCAAATGTTTGTGTACTACTGTGGGATTGTATGAAATTTCTTTATGAGGAAGGAGGATTAATGCAATCTCTGGAAGACATTCGGAACGTCAAATGACTTTTTGTGGCAATACATGGGAAGTGGATTTCCTAGGAAATTCTTGGGGGGGGGGGTAAGGTAAATGCAAATGATGCACTTCAAATCCATCCTTTGAAGCTATGGCCTGGGGAGAGAAACCAACTGTCTACTGATTACCTGCTCCTGGAAACTCCAGTTCAAAGATCTCCAAACTGAATAAAGGAGGGACTAAACTCTTCATGAGTGTGTTAGTTCTGAGTGGAGCATGTAATGAACTTGTGACCAAAAGAGAGACCCATTTGGGCAGTCTGAAGGACTCACCTGCCAGCCCCATGTTGGGGGAATCCCTGGTAAATTTATTAGCATTTTTGGAGGTTATTTTATTGTTTTTGTAAATACTTTTACCCTAAGAATAAATATGCTTGCATAGAAGGTGCTGTGTGGTAACTTATATCTGGAGCAATTACACTGTGTACCATCTCCAAGGAAAGAAGAGAGGCAGGCCTGCTTAGGCAGACTGTCTTTTGCTGGGAATAACAGTGAAGGCAGGGAACTCTTCAGCCTGGAAATACCCTGGTCGGAAGGGAGAAAGACATAAGTCTCCACCCAAGAGAGGCAATGGCTGGGGGTCTTGAAGCCTGAGACTGGGTGCCCTTGTTGGGCCACTAAAGGGAAATACAGGTGCTGTTGCCCTGGAGTGTGAGACTCCCGTTTAGGTGTCCAAAGATCAAATTACATACTTTGGCCATAGTGTTGCACTGGGCACTCATGTTCAGTTGATTACCACAACCCCATATCTTTTTCAGAGTATGTGTCTGGCAGTTTTGTGGTAGTTTCACTAGAGGCTCTTTAACTTTGAACAAAAGCTCAACCTACACAACACAGGAGATGACCTGAAAGTTAATACACAAATGCAAAGCACGGAACACAGAGACTAGCAGAAGATTTCTTTTGCAATCAAGTTTCCTGAATGAAAAGCACAAAGGCCAATCACATAGCAAACTGTGATCCACTGTCAGCCTGTAAATGTTTTGAGACACATTAATACATATTGTTCTCTCCACTCTCATTTAGGTTTTCTTTTTTGTTTAGTCTTTTTTAAATAGAATTTTATTGTTCAACACTCAATAAGAGAAACTGATTTTGTTCAACTGTTGTATTTCCTTTTTATTTTATACTATGTCACAAATAATATAAATTAGCTAAACCTCATAAATAGAAATTTTTTTTAAAATGTAGGTCCAAAACAGCTAGATGAGTCACCCTGATTAACTAGTTAGGATTCTATGCCCCAATCATTCCCCCACTGTTCCAAGGGAAAAGATTAACAAGGAAAGCAACTGAATAACCGGTCCAAAAAAACGGTTACCTACCTTTCGTAACTGTTGTTCTTTGAGATATGTTGC